ATCAGTGGCAAATCCTTTAAATATGAAAACGTACTTACAGTCTGTGAGTCAGCATTATTTGTCAGAACACTGGCATCGTAGGCTACTCTCCCAAGAAACAGTCCTCGTCCTCCATAAAATGTGTTGCACACATTTGAATATTTGGTTTGAACTGTTCTGGAACAGTGTTGTAAATATAACTTAACCACTGATTTCTAGTTCTGCCCTCTTTTGGAAAACCAAACAAAGTAGTTTCGCTTTCACAACGAAACACACAGCGTCTCCACGACATGCCGGCAACAATACTACAGCAAGAATCAAAGTTACGCCGCCTTTTTTTGCGTGAACATTTGGGCATTGTTATACAAATCTTCCCACATCGTGACGTAGCAATGTCTTTATGGATCTTATCTATTCACAAACAGCTTGTAACACTCCAAAGAGAAAGGAAAACTTGAAATACCATCATATGACCCCTTTAAACTACCATAGAGAACCTAATGTTGATCTCATACTTTGATTTACCCCCAATAGTGTGGGCAGTGCAGGCAGCATGGGCAGCAGTCGCAGTGCTGGCAGTGGACAGAGCACTGAGGGAAATAATGGACCCAATCAGTCACCGTCTGCTGTCCAGGACACCACCAAGGTGGGCTTCAGTCTCACACATCCAATGTTAAGCTGAACCAGAAAAAAAAGAGATTTTATGATTCTGTCTGCACGTCCATCGATTTTCATTAGGGAGCTGAAGCTGTGAGAAAACTGCGGAGAAATATGCAGCACTGATTAATTCACAAGATAGCGGGCTCATCATAGAACAGTACAGAGATTTCATGGTTCATAAAGGCACCAAAGGGAAAAAATTATTACTGTTATATATAGAAGTCCACAGAAGCCATGCATGATTATTTTTGCCTTGTTTTATCCAAATCTTATTTTTCTTGTAATCTTGACAAAACAAGTTATTTTGAGTTTTTCTTAAGTTTACTTGAACAGCAAGTCAGGAAAATAACAATAATGATCTAGAGAACGTACCAATGTTAAATGACTATTATCCTGGTATTATTAGATATACGACATATTTTAAAATAAACAATTAAACAAAAAAAAAAAAGAGAAATTAGGTCATTGGTATATTATATATTTCTATTTACACTAGTAGTCTCTTATGCTCACCAAGTCTGCATTTATTTGATCAAAAATACAGTAAAAACAGTAATATTATTACAATTTAAAATAACTGTCTTCTATTTAAATATATTTTAAAATGTAATTTATTCCTGTGATGGCAAAGCTGAATTTTCAGCAGCATTATTCCAGTCTTCAGTGTCACATGATCCTTCAGAAATCATTCTAATATGCTGATTTGGTGCTCAAGAAAGATTTCTTATTATTATCAAGGTTGAAAACAGTTGTGCTGCTTAACATTTCTGTTGAAACGGTGGTCATCTGTGACAGAGACCCTTACATTTTAAATCAGAGATATTATGTTCTTGCTGATAATTATAATTAATATTCATATGTAGTAATTAGAATCTCTGTGTGAAGTCTTTCACACGCAGTAGTCGTCTCTCTAAGCTATTTCTGCCAGACAGCTGTTGAGTTAAATGTGACACAGTGCTGTGGTTTTCCTACATGCAGCTGCCTCCCTCTGCTGGAGAACTGGTGGAACAGTGCAGTCAGGCCCCTGACCCCGCAAAACAGACGGACCCTCATTCAGGTCAGAACCTCTGCTGTCATATATAAATTTCACTTATTTAATTTCTGAATGTTTTAAAATTAAGAAAGAACTGGCTGTTATTTTTTATTTAATTTATTTTGACATTTTAATTATTATTTAATATAATATCTAAAAAAAGCTCTGGCATCAGTACATGCCACTCAGCTTAATATTATAAATTAAATATCCAATCCAGCAAAATGTGCCTTAAGTATCCAAATACGTTTAGGAGCCTCTGTATATTAAAGTTTAAAGACAGTCAGTTTAATGAAAGTTTAATCCACTCAATTTAAAAAGACTTTTGCACTGTCCTTTAGATAACTCATATAATTTGTAATATTCTTGAGCACGTCCACTTGTTGTCTTGTCCATGAATAAGGCATTCAGAGAATCATTTAATACAAATGTCACCTCAGACCTGTGTAGTCATTAGCTTATTTTTGTCTTAAAAATAGCCATGTATTTCATAAATCTACTACAGTTTAAAATGGTGAAAAAGGTTCCAAAGACCGCTATAAAAAAATTAGCAAGGCAGCTTAAAAATACCTCATTTTTACTTCAAGACAGATACTGTGCAGTGTCAGATTTCACTAGAAGGGAGGGATGCAATGACAGAGGCAAAGTTGTATGTAAGTCAGAAATACCGAGTAAAATAAGAGAATTTGAGAAGGAGAGAAGATTATCAGTGACACGGACACAAGAGTGTTTTCGTAGTGTCTTTGACTCGAAGAGGATCTAAAAATAAGCATGAGATCATCAAACTCTCCTAAAATCAGCTTATTTTATGGAGGTGAGTTAAATGGGGGCATGTTCACATGTGTGTTATTGCCACTACAGACATTTAAAAAAGATATGTATTGATTTAATCCTATCTTCATGCCTTGTTAAAAGTTAACGGATTATCATTATATGGATTTTTATTATTTAATAACTTTAAAGGAAGTTCAAAAGAACAGCATTTATTTTAAATAAAAATCTTTTGTAAAATTAATAAATATCTTTACTGTCACTTTTTATCAATTTAATGCATCCTTGCTGAATGAAAGTATTCACTTTTTAAAGAAAAAAAAAGAAAGAAAAGAAAAGAAACTTTCTAAGCACAAAATTTTGGCCAAAAGATTTGGCAAATAGAAAAGGATTTTGCTCAGCAAGAGCAGTAATTAGAGTTCATATAGCCATCACATTGGTATTGCATAATTACATAACAAAATACTCTGCATTTTATATGCAGCTGAGCGTACGGTTACTCATACTGCAGCATTTATTTAAAGGGGTCATATGACGTTGCTAAACACCCAAAAATGAAAATTCTGTTATTAATTACTCACCCTCATGTCATTCCAAACCCGTAAGACCTTTGTTAATTTTCGGAAAACAGATTAAGATATTTTTGATGAAATCCGAGAGCTTTCTGACCCTGCATAGACAGCAATGCAACTGGAAAGTTCCCAGGCCCAGAAAGGTAGTAAGGACATAGTTAAAATAGTCCATGTGACATCAGTGGTTCAACCGTAATGTAATGAAGCTACGAGAATACGTTTTGTGCTAAAAGACAACAAAAATAACAACTTTATTCAATGATTTCTTCTCTTCCGGGTCAGTCTCCACCACCATTCACGAGAGTACCATGATGCATGTGTGTGGTGCTGCTGACGCAGGAGCCGGCATTCTGACATAGAACACACATGCGCTACGCCTTGTTTGCAAGCAGAGGAATGCACACGCATGCGTAGTGGTACTCTCGTGATTGCGCTATTCTACTCTGATCCATTGTTAATGAAGATGAAAAAACAGTGCCTCAGGTAACAGGAGAACATTTTTTTTTCTGTTGAAACATGTGCTCCTTCAGCACACTAAAGAATAAACAAGCAGGTACAATAACATGTATAAAAGACTTCACTGTGATTCACAGTCCATAGCCTAAGGCAATAGCAGAGTCCTTGACCAACAGAAATGTGTGTGTGCTTTAGGTGCTCTTGGACAGAGGATTCCACTGAGCAGCTCCAGACCTGGAGAACATCATGTCATACACCCACAGCAACTTCTAGATGGCAAGGTGAGACCAAGGCAGAACAGCATATTACCATATTACTCATACTATTGTTGCAGTATGTATTATTTTTTACAAAGTAGCATACAATGTACACTATCAGCTACATACAAATTGTCTATGCAATTTCCATACAAATCATACAAATCTTAATCTGCAAATATCTAGCGTAGCGTTAGTTCTGGCAGGTCACGTTAGTCAAGCTCACATCAGCTGACTCTCAGCTGATCCTCCATCAACCTATGGGAATACGACACCTATCTAAACATTCATATATAAGGTCCCTCAGTATTATCAGCAGATTTCGCATTGCTCAATAGCTAATTAAATGGCGAATTCAGCAGGCAAAACACCATCATCACTAGGAATCGGGAATTTAGAGAAGTGGAATTCGCTTCCCCAATGGTCTCGCCACCGATTCATTCAAGTTCGTTAACTTGAACACGTGAATTCACCTCATTGATTATAAGCTGCCTGATTCGGAAGTGACTGAGCTAGCATTATTTCACTCATCGCTACATTATTGTCATGGACTCCACAAGTTATGTGACTGACTCAAGAACAAGTTCAAATGGGAACTTCATCCCCAAGAAGGATATCAAGAGATCAAGCATCCACTTCACAGCTGCTATGTTTCACTCTCTCGAACGTCTTCACAAGCTAAGTTCCATTTAATGCTCTCAGGTTATCTGCAACATGCGTGTTGCTAAGGCTATC